AACACTTGCCTAGCTCAGAAGTCAAATCGAATGTGACTAGCCTATGCCCTACAGATACTCGTCTAGACTTCTCAAAAGCTTCACATGATGCACCCTGTGTACTTAGCCCATTTATCACAATTTAGAAAGTAAGACAGCATTCTTCACTTACAATGTGAGCTTTTCACAGTTGGGATATTCGTTCTTCCTGAACAACCTGCTAGCAATCTAATCCTGAAATGTGTTCTGAGCTTGCAATACCAACAAAGTGTTAGCTTTATGTACGAATCTTGTATTAGTTGTCCATGATTAGCTTTGTTCCTTCTGTTGATTCTACTAGAATATAGCTCTTACTAGAGGAAAGAAATAAAAGAAAAAAGAAATTTAGATAGAAACAAAAGTCAGATGCAAATTAAAAAGAGTTTAAATTCTTTGAACTCTGGAAAATAAAGGAACCCATCAGGTATTCACAACAACAAGAGAGCTGAGGACTCCCTTAAAGTCACCTTATTCCTCACTCTTACAAAAAGATTTTGCTGGTTCTCAGACTACGCCATCATTCCAATCTTGTATTTAAGTAGTTGTGTGTGTAACTATTAACAAAGCTGGATTTAAAAACACCGTAAAAGTATCTATGAAAACATAGATATGTGCTGCTAATGCACATTTTAATTTTAACTCTGCAGTACTTTCCAGAGCTCACCTCTCAGCTCTGCCTAAGCACAGCAACAGCTCAACAAACCCACCCCAGTGAATTCTACTCTGCTTCCACACTGAAAAACGGTACTGAGTTTTGCTACTCCCAACATCCTGGAAAGTCACCTTGACAAGATTGGTTAATTCTATTTGTGCAGCTCAATATAAAATACTCCTTAATTAAGAAGAAGTAAAGATCATAGGGAATAACTGTACAGGCAAACATTCAGGTCAGCAAAAATATTAGCAAATACCCTATCAGCACCTTGCTCTGCCAGCAGCATTTCCCACAATTGAGGAAAGAAAAAAAATAATCTACAGCATTCTTGCTTTCTAAGCACTGATCCTGAGGCAGTTGGCATACAATCCTAATGAAATTAAATAAGAGGGAAAGATTTTCCCAAAGCACGTCCATTTTATATATATATATATTATATTTATATATATATATATATATTTTTTTTTCCCCCCCCCACTACCTCTAGGAGAAAATCTCCAAGAAAAGTGGCTTAAATTTAGTCTCTCTGTGCCCACAAATCTTTGATAGTCTAACTATATGTGCTTGCATTTTATTCCAGAGTAAAAAGTGCATGAAATCCCGTATGACTAACAAGTGTATTATTCAAGTCCCCTTTTGCTACGATGAATACATACAGCTTTTATCAAGAAAATGGCATAAGCTGTGCATCACACTGATTAAGACATCAGGATAAAGTTCTACTGATGAACTCATTTTTTCCTCTTCTTTGATAAAATGCAGCATTAGACAGTTCTTTGCTGAAGGATACATATTCTGTTTTCTTCTATTACTGCCAACTAGAGTAGCAAGAACACTAATATGAACAAAATAAAGAATTTTTTCTTTAGTATTTCACCCATCCCAGCATTTCACAACACAGTGGAATCTATAAATAGAACCACATGCTTTTCATGTAGCTACAAGTGGTATGAAATGAATAATCAAAGGTGAAATGATATCAATAGTACAGTTTGACACAACTGAACAGCCTTGGTGAGCAGGTGTGCCCTACCAAATTACTCTGCTTCTGTACCAAAGCCAGCTCCCAACCCATCCTTGGCTGTCAGCCATTAGAAAAACAAAAACAGCAAAAAAAAAAAACACAAAAAAAAACCCAACAACCCAACCACCCACACTTACTAGCAGCTATGCAGCTAGTTTTCTACGTTTCTGCTTCATCTATTCATCTGTGTCATTATTTAGTGCCAATATGCATCTTTGCAGACTGCAGTGTAAAATCTGACAGCCACATCTTAAAAAGCCATCTTACACGACAAGGATGAATACACTGAAAAGATATTTCCTTAAATATTAATCTGATCTGCACCTTTAAAGCAAACAAAAAAAAAAACAAACTGAAAAGCAATTTTTTAAACTTTTTTTTTTTTTAAATTTTGATAGTTTTTGATGTTTTTAATTTTTTTTTTTTTTTTTTGGTTATTGTTACAGCACCACTATAATGCATCTCATGTGACAGAAACCAAATGGTTTCTCTTCAGATACAAACTAATTTGAAAAAGCAGATCAGCTTCACTAATGCCATGATAAATCAACTTCCAACATCCCCTTCCATAAGGGACAACAGTTTTGAAGTTAGGCTAGCTAAAACAAAGCCACACATCAATATTTTGACATTTAGTTGGATTTATGAAAAATGATCTCTTTTCCCCAGAGCCTTAATCTGAGCCATACAATGTTGTCAAAACTGCACGACAAAAAGCCAAAACTTATTCAAAGCAGTTTACTGCCTTGGTTTTTCTATTTCTCAAAGATGGAAGACATTTTTGTGCATCTCTTCCCATCTATTCAGAGTTAGTTTTTAACCTCAAAGTTCACATTGTTAGTCAACAAGTGGTGAAACAAGTGAAAATAGGCACCATGCAACCACAAGCTGAATGTGGGCTAGGTGGACAAATGAAGTTTCTTTTGTCTGCCAACTCTTAAGTAAACAAACACTGAACCACCAGAAATTTTGGCAAGATAAAGGTGTATGAATTGCAGGTGTGGGTAGAAAATGTATTTTCGTAACAAAAACAATGAAAAGTAAAACAGTAGCTACCCAGTGGTCAGATATGTATCTAAAGACATCACTCAAAAACGATATAAAATACAATGCCAGTGTAGAATTCCCACTGTTCTTCCGTGTTCAGTCCATATCTGAACTGGATATAATCATTCTAAGCATTTATACAATTTTCACCTTCACAGAGTTACCATTTTGGCACATTGCTACAATGGAAAGATATAACTGAAACTCTTCCTTGGAGAATCATTTATTTTTGTGGTGTTCCCATAGTTATATATTTGATCATATGCAGCAGCTTAAACCCGCATGCCTGTAACTCACAGAGACAATTCTCTACATTTCCAATTCAGCAGTTTTACTGTAGCTTCTAGTTGTACCAGATTTCTTTCCTACAGTTAGCTCTCCTGGGCTCTAAGGCTGAGTTCTTCCCCTAAAAGCACTGCTAGCCTGAAGACAGCAAAAAGACACTGTCCTGAGGTGTGTAGAAATAACACAAATAATCCTCATTCCTTAAAGATGAACTAACCTGCAATATCTACTTGTATGACAGCATGTTTAGACTCATGCCTGGGCTTTGCGTTTACTTACTCTCTGTAGCATATGTCACCATCATCTACATCGGTGCATCCTTTCTCAAATCTGAAGCAAATCTCCATGTTTCAGTTAACTCTATATTCCATGGACATTTGGAAGAGTGTCTGCTTGCTTGCCAGACCCTACACTGCACCACATCAGTGAATTTGTCTACACGATCCTCCAACCATTTGCAAATGCCAGTATATATCTGAATGCTTCATACTTTGGTCTGTTTTCTCCGAAGATGCTAGTGACTTTGTCACTTATGCTAGCTGCTAGTGACTGGTAAAGTGGGTGAGAAACTCAGTAATCAAACAAAGCTAGAATAATCATAATGTACATCATGCAATTCAATAGCACAGACTAACATTGAGATTTTAACAATTATATATAAGAAAAATTGCACATTTTGGAGTAAAGTTACTCATGCAGCCAGTCCTCAATGCATGGCATGGCCATCTAGGATGTAGAATTTATACAGCAGATGCAGCCACAACCAAACAGTAGAAGTCAGCACTGGTCTGAAAGCAGAGTCCTGCTTCTCACGTTGGCACCATATCAGCATTGCCATTCCTATTTCCCCTGCCATATTCTCCTGCACGTCAAATAGGTAACAATGTTCTAAAGAATTTTAAGTGTTTGCAGTTGCTTTGTACACCCTCAACAGGGTTTAAGACATTTTTAACAGGTTTTAAGACATTATTACAATAGAGGGATTTTATCATGATCCTAATTAGCCAATTATTTTGACAAATATTAGGAAATCTATATGAACAACACTACAATATTGTTAGAAATAAATACTACTAAAGCACATCAAAATTATGAATGATGCTATTGCTCCTAAAATCTGGAACCATGATTGACTTAGGAAGAAAATTAAGTTTCTCCTCTTTGCACAGTGATACATGTAGTTTCTGTCCCCCTTACAAGTGTGGGTATAGACAATGGCTTACAGCACAAACCCTAGAAGAGTGCCTGTTTATCTTAAAGAAATGAAATTACAGCAAAATTCAAAGTTTATGTTCTAGGAGACTAAGGCTAATTCCCAATTTTACACTTGAATGGGCCAGGAGTAAGAGTCAGACTTGACGGTTAACTGCAATTTTTTTTTTTTTTTAATAGCAGATGGAACACTTGTTTGTACTTGTATTTAATAAGTCAGCAACAGTGCTCATGTAGCCTTCCATCTGGCTTTTTAGGGTTATTTTGAGAGCCATACATTTCAAACGCAAACTGATTTAAAGCACCAACATCACCTACACTGATTTTCATAATATATTAATTTTATATTAACTGTTCTCATAGCAGAATTTTGTTTTTTAAAGGAAAACATGCTTGTATCAGCATCAAAGTGGTAAGGTACAGTTAAGAACTCCAATACTTTTTTTCACTAAGTGATCCTGCTATCTGCATTTTGTCTCGATGTAGTACGTCTACAAACAGTAGCTCGTGAATTATTTAAGATCGCTCTAAATTTCACAAGGAACTGTTGCAACTTTCCCCAGGCAATGACAGGGATCTTACCCAATTCTTGGTGATGACAGCAAGAGGACTTCTGCTAACTTGGTCAAGTTGCAGGTAGGCACTACACACAGGGAGAGGGAGTTCACCTAAATCTAACAGTATTTCAACACATGAAAGATTTGTAGTACACATTCAGATGAAAGCACAAAGAGAAAAGAAAAATAGTTTCTTCTATACCTGGTAAGTCTGAGAAAAGGAGAATGCATTCGTTGAATCCATTTGCGAGAAGACGATCCCTCAGTTGTTGAAGTATAGCCACCCCTATGCAGAATGGGAAGGAGGAATTTCCAAGCAATAATGTATCCCACAAGTGAAAAATTTTATGCAAAGGAAAGACATCTGCATAACAAACAGACACATACATACACAAAAAAAGCAAAATTAATATAAACGCTCTTAGGCAGTCATACACATTTTCCGCTCCTATCTAAGGTAATTTCTTTTTTATTTGAGAGCAGGTAAGAAAAACTTTTTAAGTACAGGTTTATTTTCATACATAGACAGACTATTCCAGAAACAATCAGTATTTTCTTTCTTTATTAAATGCTTTGAAGTATATAGGTTTTCACATTTCAAACACACATGAAATTAGGCAATTTCTTTTCCTTCTGGTATAGTATAACTATGCATGAAGAAGTACGTATCAGTTACTTCCAGCAGCATGAAGACATTAATGAGCGAACCAATAAGCTCAGGTACTTAAAACTAAATGAGGAAGTGGGCAGAATAGAGCAAAAACTGACAGAATGAGACAGACAGACAGGCATCAAGGCCTAACAAAAACAGCACCACTTGAAATATAACGTCAAAAGGTAGCTCTCCTGAAACACACTACCCTTCAACTACAAAGTTCTAACATTTTGTTTTAATTCATTGCCAAGATAACCACCTCCTCAGTTTTTCAGAGGTAGCAATTCTCATTACAGGTTTTTCAAAGAATGGGCAACTGCATCAGCCAGTGCTTCACAGTCAAGAACTCTGTCAAATGCAATTGAGAACCTCACATCACATCCTCTGATATTTCAGAGAAGTAATCTGCTAATGTTGACATGAAAAGAAGAAACATTAGGTATTTGAGGAAAGAAAATCACAAATTGCTTTACTAACTCCCATGTCTTTTGTTGACAGCTCACCAAATCAGAAAGCTCTTTTTGCTCCGAATATTCATGAACAAATACCACAGCGTGGTAAAGAGCAACAACATAAAGCATGTTCTGCTGGCCTTAAAAAATAAAGAAATTCCACATTCCACATTTCTGAACTTAGCAGAGTGAGGGAAGGTGTATCTTAATATTATTGTAATTTTACCCAGTAGATAAATTCTTACATTTCACCTTTCTTAAGTACCACATGCATAACATAATCCAGTTCAAATTTAATATAGTTCTTTTTCAGAAATAAGAAAGCTGAAATTATCTGCTCAAGGAAGAGCAGAAAGTACAACGTGACATGGACTGTTGAGTCTCAAGTCGTAAGTTCACCCTGCAAATTACAAAGGACCTTTTAAATGACACATATCACATCAATTAAGAAGGGTTCATCCGACAAAGTGAGAAAAATTATCCTTAAGAAATTTAACATTTAATTGGAAAAAAAAGTATACTCACGTGTAAACATTGTAAGAAACCACGGAATAGCATAGAGCTGCAAAAGGTGGGGCATGGCAGGAGGGGAGAGAAAAAAAAAAAACATGTTTTTTTTTTTTAAGATCTAAGTTTTTTGCTTAGGTCAATTGTTAATTGCAATAAAAATTGCAATGCTTTACATTAACACATTTAAAACAAGAAATAACTGGAGTGGCAAAACTACTACAATAGAATCATAGAATCACTCAGTTTGGAAAAGTCCAACCACGACCTAACCAAACTACTCTAACAACCCTCTGCTAAATCACGTCCCTGAGCATCAAAAGAAGTGTTTTTCACACCAAGTCACCATTCTCATCCCTTCCACATTATTGTTTTGTGATCCTCTAGTGAAAACAAAGACCATTAGCATCATGGCCAGCTGCTCCTTTAAACTGCCACAGTTCTCCCCTTACTCTATGCTGCTAAATAAAAATTAGTGAAGAGTGCCTGAATAAAGCATAAAACAACTTGATTCAAGGTACCTTTTTGACTCAGGAAAAAATATTTTTTATTATGAATAAATAAAAGTGCAAATCACAACTTCCAAAAGAAAAAGGAATGGTATCTACATCTTTTGCATATGCTGGCATGTATTCAACTGTATACTTCTTATTGAAAGGAAGTAACAAGTTAAATTCTCCAAAGTCACTCAAGCATACAATGCCTGTTACCAACAAATTAAAACCACGTAAGTGCATAACATGACCTTTAAGGATATGTGCCATCTGAAGAATTTGAGGTGCCACTTATATTACTCTGAGACTGTCTAACTTCTGCTGCTGTAATGGCTACAGAAAATAAAGTTTCTGCAAGCTTTCCGTCAGAATACCTACTACACCACATACAAAACATTCAGAATGTGTTAGAACAGATAGTCATTTGTGACTCCTTTAGAGTTTCTTAATCTTTAATGAAGCATTTAGTGGGTTGAAAGCAATAAAATCTATTTTCAAACATCACCCTACAGAAAGTCCCAACACATTACGAATGCAAGAATAAGTCTATCTCTGTTAAATTTTATTCAGCTGCACAGCTCATGTGCTTTGTTTTCCATTTCTGAAGATTTATAGTTAGACATAAAGCTTAATATATTACATTTTAGCTCATAAAAAGTGCAAATTAGTACTCCTATTAAGCTTGCCCTGAAAGTAAGCAAATGAGCAGCAGAAAATATAATCGATACTATGTTAATAAATGACTTCTTATTCCATCAACTCCTAACTGGACTCCGGCACTGATGAAATGATGCACACACACATGCAGAAAGGTTCCCCAGCACAGCTCTCTAACTTTGAGTTCCACACTTTCATTTGAGTATCTAATAGCATCTAAACTGTACTACACATAAAACTACAAGCTATGATGAACAGACTTTGCATAGCCTACAATCTTCCAAATCATTTTAAAGGTTCAAAAAAAAAAAATCACTATATGCCATTATTTCAGGTTCATTATACACTCCTGTTACCCTGGGTACATCTCCGCAACACTTTCAGTATATGTCTATCTGTGGAATAACATTTGTGATCAACAAATTCCCATTTACCTGCTTACCCGTATGCATTATACAGCTTGCCATATAGCAGAAAATAAGCCTAATGTTCCTCTTCTCATACATCTGACTACAACGTTTTACCCTAAGCAGCTCCATGCTTGCTCCTAATTTCACATACAGACATCTGTATCTTGAATGCATATAGAATAGATACAAGAGCCACCAAAACTGAAATAGTGAAGATATTATTAAAAGGTAACTACAAGGCAAAGCACTTCTTCGCTCTAAATCATCCTTACTAAACCTATCAATAGTAATATGAAAAGTCAAACTATTTAAGTTAGAAGGTATCAGGTAAACATTTTTTGAGATTTTCTTGTCTTATTTTCAAAAATGTAATATTCTATGATAAGAAGGTCTAGGCAAACCCAAAGAGGTTATGATTAACATTACTGAGAAAGCAAAGCAGAGACAACATTAGTATTATTTCACCATGCAAGTCAAACTGAAAAACAAAGATGAGAAAAACAACTGCAAAGACATGAAGTCCTCAAATAAACAGGATACAAAATATTTTTAGAGAAATGACTGCATTTTTAATATAGTATTAGTACATACTGCCCTCTAGCGATCATTAGCTAGAACAGCATTTTGCCATACTTCTGTAGTTAAAAAAAAAAAAAAAAAAAAAGGTTTCCAACCTTTACTACAGAACCCTGACACATAATAAGGTTGTGGCTTTCATTCACACTTAACATCACATATTTCCTGACCACACTGAGTTTTTTAAAGCAGCATTTGAACTACTAGAACAGACTGGGAAAAAGTCAGATTAAACTGAAAGCCTTTAAAGTCAATACTTCATTTTTTTTAGAGCGACCTTAAGATCAGCAGTGCTGTAATCACCATTTTGCTTTGCTAGTAACATATGAGTTCTTTGGTACTTTCAATTAAGTACCAGGACATCTCTTACATACGAAGAACAATTTGAATAAAAGCCATCACAATGTTTTTAGTTAAAAGTGAAATCTCTTCTCCTCCCACTTTGTTTCATTCTCAGTTTTTTCCATTAACCCTAGCTGAAGCTCCAGTAGCGTGCTGCTATGACAAACTGCTTAAAATCAGAGCTTGAAGACTCAGTTCAGAGCTTTTCAACAGAGTGAAGTTAGATCATAACTGTAGGTAAACAATCTATTTCTGAACTAGAAACTCAAACCTCCTCAAATCCCAATGAAAGCCTTTTCCATGATAAATTACTGTTATTTCTCTCTGCATTATTTCATTCTTTGACTCCTCCTCTGGAAGATGAGCTTTACATGTCTTTATCTATAGAAGATGAGATTTTTGCTGTAAAGGCAATAGTTTCAAAGACTTCAGGTTGAGAGGCTTTTGTTTCTAAAGACAATTCAGAAGAGCAAGCAAGGCAAAAACGCACACTAGTATTTGTTGGAGGAGATCCTAGAGAGTGTTCAGAAATAACCACAAGTCTCTTACTGTTTTGAAAGTCTGTAACAATAACGTGGCCTACTTGTAGGCCACAATCCAGGAGATGTTATGAACATGGTAAGAAAGCTATTGTGAAACTATGCATGTAGTTCCAAGACCAAGAAAAGAAATTTAATACTGAAGATCTGAATTTCCAAAGCTGAAGATGCCAACATACTTCATGTTTACTATGTGAGTACATAACATTTATTTTACTATATGCTTATAAGGAATAAAACGCTCTTCATTTCATTGAAGGGTTCTGCCTTCACAATGCATGCAACATACCTCAAGCCTATTAGATAATTCTATGTTCAACTGCTACAGAAAGGCACATAAATGTTTTGACGTATAGGGATGCCAAAGTAATGCAATTTGAGACCAATTTCTAAATTTAGATTCTGCCTACCTACACACACCTATGCAGAATTTGAAGAACGATCACTTTCCTTGTAAGATCAAAATACAAGCAAAAAAATCTCTCCCCTACATTCACCACTAGCTAACAGTAACAGAAGAGACAAATGGAGATGAAGTACTTCAAGCACGGGATTTTCAGTTCCGCTACGTGAAGCCATACTAACAGCAGCTCCTGCACATCACCAAAGGAAAACTAAGCCTGAGACAGCAGCTTATTAAGCAACTGCAACCAGATTTTGTCATCTCCTTCACTGGCCTGCTAACAACTGCACCTAGCAGCCATAATTGGCAGGTGAAAGCTATTTACAATAATTTATGCCTACAGCTACCCTTTTAGTAAAGTAGCATTTTTTTCTTGCTTAAAATAGTCTGCTTTGTATGTCAGAATTATTCAGTAGAATATAGAACAGAGGCTATAAAATATTATACAGAGCGGTGGAGATTATCAGCTGCAGGAGAGCGAGCAAAGAACTAAAAGATTCACCATACCTCGCTCTCTATTTACACATAAATCACACAAGCCACTGCAATGTACTTAATCCAGGCACCACATCAGCTAACAATATTCACAATTATTGGAGTTTCAGTACTGTTCAATATTCTGAGAGCTACATGACCCAAAGCAAATGGGAAGGGTGCCAGGAAACACAATCTTTCCTGCAGCAGGAGCCTGCATTTTGATGATGAAAGATTAATCAGAGTTTACTTTGATAGGATTAGTACTCAAGCACAAAACTCAGGTTCAGATCTCATTACCAAAGTGCATATCCTTCACCTTGACAGATCCTGTGCAGTAAGAGGTACAAAAACCCTCTCCCAATAATCTGGAAGGCAAAACAACTTTTCTTTTTCAATGACAGGATTTAGAAAGGACAACTTCTCTTCAGAGGTTAGTGTTAATTTTAGAATTAGCATTGGTATTCAAATGTAGAATTCTTCATTTTAATTTTTAATCATACTCCTGTTTTGCAATTATTTGTTGCATTACCCACTCATACCCTCTTCTAAGCTATAACACTTAGGATACAAGGCTCACATTTGACTACATGCTGTCTAACAGCCACCCTGATACAAAATACAAAATATACCCAAAAAGGTGATTTTTAACTACTCCATCTGACTTGCATTTTGAAAATTTATTACAGCAAATAAACATCAGGTGCATTTACATTTGCAGGTGATGCTGCAAACTTGATTCTCCCCCAGTAACTTACCCACCACGTCCTTTATTCTGCCCTCAAATTCACATGCTTTCAAGATGTGAATATCCTCCCAACTCCCCACCATTCTCTCATCTTCAGCCTTTTCCTCCTCAGATGTGGATTATTAGCAGTACATGCAGCTTCTAAACACCTCAGATTATATCGCAATACATTGGGTTTTGCTTTTGCTTCTTTAAATGCCACAGTAACTTTTACATTCATATTATAAACATTATTACATCACAAAGGCCTTTAGAATTGAAAGGTATATACGTTTTCTTCCCATTACAATCTTTGCAAACAGTACTAATGAGCATCAGCCCATTCTGAAGCAAGTTTACCCAGAAATTGCATGCAAGAAATTATTTTCATAGGCTTGGCCTTCCCTCCTGAGAGCATTATGCTGGCTTTCTAGACTATACATGGCTCTAAATGAAGGATAAAAAAGTTTCCCTGTTTACTGCAATAGATAAAAGCGGGGCCCTATAAAGAAGGCCTTGTTTTATTTTTTTCATTATAGCCCTCTCTACTACATTTTGGATATGGCCACAGTTTCCATTTTTCTCCACCTTAAATGAAGGGATAAAACTTGCATACAAGCTATAATCTTTCCAATGTTTTTGACAGATTCCAACAAGTGATTGCTAAGCATTTTCCAGAATCTAACATACCTACAGATTAACCATCACTTGCACATGCTTTTCGTACTATTGGCAAATCAATGTGTCTGTTGAGTTAAACAACTGCATTTAATTAGATGGTAGAAAAATTTCTATTAGCCATTCTCAGCCACGTTCTTCTTTGTATACTAGTCCAAATTTTTTAAAACAAATTACATATATATTTTGAGGTCAATCTAAGTTAAAACTACTTATTAGTGATATTTGTGTTGTACCATGTTAACAAAAGGGCAAGGACTGAGGTACCTAAAACAATAATCAATACTTAACCATTTTAACAGCATATCCAGAAAATCTCATTAATAAGCAAATCTCCAGGTAAACTGCTGCCAAGACAGTTTTGCAAAGCATCTCATCCTAACTGTGCTAATTTTTCCTTCTTTTACTTTGAGCAATATTTATAAGAATGCTCAGCACTTACATCAGGAATGAAACCAATTTCATTAAGGTGGTTGCTCAGCTCTGGATCATGGAATGCAATCATCTGAGAAAACACCGTTAGATACTCTGAAATAACAAACAAATTCAAGATCACTGTCAAAAACACAAGCCAGAACGTCCTGTTGTTCTGTATAGTAGCTGTAGGAAAGAAAGGGCACATTCTTAAAAAAAAAAATTTAGACTTTTTGTGTGAATACAAGCCACAAGATATTGATGGAAGTTAGAACAAGAATATTTCAAGAATTTTAAGACCCAAACTGAGTGAAATACTCCTTAATTGCAACAATTGTATTTATTTTCAATAGTTAAATTTTGTCATCCAGAAGTCAATGAGGTTTTAAGGTAGCACCTGCATCATCAGTAACCTCTTAATTTGTCTTCTCTGGAATAAAGGGGAAAATACTTACTGTAAAGATAAAATGTAATAAGATTGTCAGCACAGCACATCATGCTGAAGGGTACAATTTAATTAAGTTGTCTAATTAACGCTTGCTTTTAATTGGAACAGAAACAGACAACAGAACAGAGACACCGACAGACTTCTCTATTTATTCTAACCTCTCAGTTTTGCTCCTATTGTGATGTGCCTTGTTAGAAGGAAGATGAAGAGTCAGTAACACTGCAATTTCAAAACAAATGGCAATTGCTTTTTCTCTATGCTCTCAAGCACAGAGTAATTAGGGCTCAGACATCAAGCTGAGTGAAGGAGGACAGACAGGGAATGTTACTCTGCTTCCAGTTTTGAGCATACAAAGTTAAGAACAATAATTCTGTAGAATAATTATATTAGGTTTAGAAATGTTAAAAGCTGTGATGCTATCTCAAGAGAACTGAGAAACAATATTCGCATTGTAAGAACACAAAGGGAACAAGTCACAGACCTACTGCAAATAATACTTGAAGGAAAAAGATGCCCAAGTCCTCAAGGTAAGTTGCAATAAACATTAGGAACCTCCAGAGTTTAACATCCACTTAATTTGCTTTAAGTTGGAAAGATAAAGCCACAGCTTTTCAAACAGATTCTTTCTGTTCTTAACAATTGTTTACAAGACTAATTATCTAATCAACAAAGACAGTAGCAAGGTGAGTTAACAGTTCCAGAAAACTCCTTCACTGTATCTTCTCGATATTTACAATTAATTTTTAGGTAGAACAGACATTTATCTCCCAGGAATTGTTTGGACTTCTCTGAGATGCCTGCAGAGCTGTTGAAGACCCAATTATGCAACATTTTTCCTCATGGATACCAAATCCTGTCCTGTATTCTCTTCAATAAGAAATTCCTCTCTAGTCTCCAAGTAACTGAACACCAATTTCTGGGGATTTTTAAACTTGTACTGTTCCTGCTCTTTACTGTCCCTCACTGTAAAGACAGCTCCTGTAACATTCATATGATTAAAATCATGCTGTTCAGTTTTTAATCATATAGCATTGCAAGGACCTTCTCCTCACCTTATAACTTCGCAAAAATCAATTGATGCTCAACTTGGAAACAAATGGAGCTTTTTTTTTTTTTCAACCTCCCTGCGCAAACAACATTGTTCTAAGCCTGTTTATCTGTTTACCTGTTTATCTTGTTCCTACTTCCCTTGCACAGTTGGTGGTGTTTTTTGCTTTTTGTTTTTCTTTTTAATCTCACATAAGCCTTCTGAAATGCATAGATGAATATTTCGACAGCACGTTCCTCATTTATAACCACTTGAAAAAGTGTATTTATAAATGCAGATTTAATTCAAGCCCCCTTAGAACAAATAAAAAAATTAAAGGCACTTACCTTGGATAACATGAGAATTATCCTTCAGAAAGAAGTTATACAAATACTTGGGTATAAAAGCAGACATGCAAGCATAGGCCAGAGCTGAAAAAAATTAGAAAAAACAAATGCAGAGATAGAAATACAAGTGCTTATTATTAAGCAGATAAAAGACATATATTAAAATCAAACCATAAAGAAAATTGATTGTAAAGGAACATAGGAAGTGCACAACGCTCTCTAATGAATTTTAAAAGCTTCTATTATCACTTAAGTAAACAAGACAAATCTGGTTGGACGCTCTTTGTTCCCAATTTCTTTCCATAATTCTTAGTGACTGTATAATCAAAGAATATTAGGATGTTATAATCACAAAATAAACAAGACAGTTAGGCAAAGCAGACTATGATAACAAGAAAGAATAAACAGAAGGCTTACCCCTATCCTGGGCTCACTCACAAAACTCCAGCAGAGCAGATCGCCAGGAGAGATCCTCCCCCACTGGCAGCCAGCTCTTAAATGGGTCTAGGAGGGGTGCAGCCAGGCTCCACCCCTTCCTGCAGCACAGGTGAATCGCCTTCACTGTGCTCCTCTGGCTGACTCATGGCTCACCTCAGGTGATCCATCAGAGGTTCAGGCTGTGGCTCAGCACTTCCCATACAGTGACAAAGCCATAGTGATGTTTGTATTGAAAAGGGAAGCTCCCTGATGGAACAAAGCTTTCGAAGATACAGTTTCAGACAACTGCATTGTTGCATTCTTCTGTTTTCTCCCATAGAATTTAGGCCCAGTCTACATCCCCACGAGACTCTTATCTGGTCCCCTTCTTCAGCTCAGAGTCTGAAGACAGAATTCACAGGAAACCAACAGTGGAATACTATTAAAACATTTCTCAGCAGCTCTTCACAAACATACCATGTAGAGATTAGAGGATAAGAACATAATGTTTAGCCCTTCATTAATTTCTAAGAATTTGGCTGAGAGATAGTCTACCTATTTTAATACAACTCTTAGCCATGTTGTTAAACCACTGATTTGATAAGTCGTCTTAGTAAGAGATAGAATGGAAACTGTAATAAATTGTTCATCATTTTGGAAATGATAAGCAAAGCATCATATTTATAGCATTCTTTAGAAATGAATTCAAGTTCGCAAATTTTCTGGCATTGAAACCACCATTTAATTATCTGTATTCAATTAAATTCATAAACCAGGTCACAAGGAATTGCAGTTTTCACTACCATACTTTGCTTCAATTAAAAAAAAAAAACAAAAACGGTGACAGAATCAAACCATATGGATGTGTTCGGGACCTGTTGATAGAAATATGTAAAGGTGCACAGTAGGCCCACTGTAAGAGTTACTGTCCTGAAAAACTATCTTTCACCCAAACATGTTATGAAAAAGTTGTGTACAAGAACATAGAAAGTTGGACTAGGCCTGTTCTGAAGAAATCACAGTCCAAAGCTGATCTCTGATTACCTTTTCGACACTTAAGACCAACACCAAGTTTCTGAATACTGCTCATCTGTACGGTTAATGGTTATGATAGGTTAACAAAAAATACATTCACATTACCAAAGGCTAATCCAGAGCTGCACTGAGAAGCAGAAGTAGTAAATATGCATATCTTTTACATATGCATGTTTTTATATAGCTATTTGTGATCACTTCTTTTGAGTCATAGCAAAAATAGCTTCAAAATTCCCTTTCAGTTACAGAATTCTTTCATAAATATGTGGTGCACAAATATCCGCAGACAACTAAGATGAACAGGTTGTGCTTCCCCTCACTCCCAGCAGAAAAAAGTGCTCACCTTCATTGTTAAAGTTCAAGTATAGGAATGGTGCACAAAGAGAATCGAGGCCTAAAGAGGGAAGAGCCATGAAGAAATGTCATAAAGATCTCATTTAATGAATTTGTCTTATTCAACACAATAACTTAACCGTGACATTTTGCATACTTTTGTAACACCTGCAATGCCAGGCTGCACACAATGCAGAGAACAAGTATGCAATCAACACATGCAAACGGTTTTCAAGAAATCCAATTCACAGTCCTATGAAATTGCCCAATAACTTCTGCAGCACTATCTTTGAACTGATCAGCAGAAAGAAACAGACTCCTCTTTTTCTTTTTTTTTTTTGAAATGATCAAAATTTCTGAAGAGCATATAGAAGAGGCAGTCAATTTGGCATTACAAATTAAATCACTAGGAACTAAATTTTCAGTAATTCACCTATTCATTCTTCAAAAGAGAGGAAAAGGAAGTCCTCCAAGTAAGATTTTTGTTCGGTTGTTCTTTTAGACATAGCTTTCCCATTAATGTCTTGCTAATTACTCAAACCCACCTTGCCAGTACACCAAATCAGGATGGGAAACAACCCAGGCCTTCAATACACGTCTAAACTTTGCATGACCCTCAGGTGATGACAGCAATTCGTCATACTGATGGCAACGAGGAATATCAACTTCAATCTGTATCACAGTCAAATACACAATGTAGAGAGAAACCAGGGTAAATGAAATAGTACTACAGCAGTTGTGTAATAATACAGATGGCAGTGGTGGAAGTTAGCCAGACAACTGAAGTCAGATCATCATCATCAAAATCAGTCTGTTTCACCCACTGCTCTCAGATCAGTAACTGAATGGGGACAGGGCTCTAACAGCTGCTTTTAAAAGAAGGCTTTTAAATAAATAAAAGCAGACTCAACTTCTGTGCTAGTTTCAGGTGCTGGCACCCCTTTTTTTCTACAGGATAATATAATCAGAGACCTCAGAAAACTTGATGGAATCTATTTAATTCAGCCATCTGATGGAACAGCTGTTCCTTGTGAAGATTATTTACATTTGGTAGTACTTCTTGGAGAATTTAATGGCTCAAGAACCCATTTCTGTACAGTTCATCTTACTGTTCAGAATGTCAGCGTACTTGATGCTATCTGGCATCAGGTCCAAGGGGCCCAAAAAAAGAATTGATAAAGACAGAACATGTAACAACACACCAGTAATACTGCTTATTATACTGCTTGCTGTTGCAACAGAAACATGATTCTGAAATAAGATTTTTGCTCATCAGAGGTTATAACCTAATTTGAGTTAAACTAATGGTCCCAAACTGTTTTGCAAGATTCTTGCAACAGCATGAGAAAGCTTAGAGGGCAGGGGAAACCTTCTACTATTATCAACCACATCTGCTGTAATAGACAAAATGACACCCACAGGTTGAAAAGATCTTTGATTTACTTCAGGCAACAGTATTCAGTAAAAACTGGAGGTCTTACTTGTCTGTCTGTAGGAATCGGTGTGTCTTTATCAATGGCATCATATTTTGCTTGAATGGCACCCTAAATGTGGAAGAATATTTCAAAACAGAAAGCCCTTACTAATGTAACAGCATATTGTAATGTACATACCTATATACAAAAGCTGTTTTTATCAAATGTTCCAGCTATTAACTTTTTTTCTGAATACATATTTTAGTGCATTTTCCAAACAGAGAATTTCTCAATGCTGAATTTTCACAAAATCTTCTTCATTCGAGTGTAACTCAGGATACACAGAACTTTCAATGGTATTCCCACTATCTTCAGTCACTTTCTCTGGCTTATAAAGCAAGGAATATATTTCATCCAGTTTTCCATTTTTAAGTTAACTGAAACTACCAATTTAAATTCAAAGTATATCTCTGCTGCTGTCAAGTTTCAGCATCATCTGTGAAAAGGCTGCCTATTAATTAAATACTGATACTACCAACATACACTACTCTTAAACAGCCAGTTCTTGTCTAAATACCAAGGGAAGTACTCTAACAAGTGCATCTTAATGTTATGGGACTGCCCTCAATGTACAGATACTAAGTTGATGAAGTAAGTGAACTCACTCACTTCCCAAGACACACTCAACCACCAGTTACTCTTTTCCTTACGGGTTTTTTTGTCATATGAAGATACTCAGAAGTTCACATCCTAAGCTACATCCTAAAACTCAGAACATGTAACCTGTAAAAACCTCTTTGCTGCATGACTGAGGATTACAACAGATGCAAAAGTTGGGTTGTCATCACGTAATTCATATCAAGTAAGAGGGGTCCCCATTTCAAGGACAATTTCTAGGACAGTCCTTTCTAGCCCTTTGTCCAGAAGGATTTCATGTCATTTATTTTTTCTCCAATCTTTGGAAGACATGTACTGGATAATAGTGAAATAAAATACATTTGCTACATTTTACACTGTTACCCAGCTTTTGCTTGTTGAGGCAGAAGACTGTAACTGCATTTATCAAAAATAACTTTAAAAATCAAAAAAAAGTTAAGCAGCAGTTGCATTTACACACCATAGCAAAATTTTAGTGGATGTGCACTATTTTTTTATTCCCTAATCAAATTAAATATAAAGTCAATCAAAGCCAATGTTCTCTGACACCAAATATCAGAATCAGGAATGAGTCTGAATACTGTTTTAGTTCATACGATTTCATGCAACCCTTTGTTTCAATCTGCACTAATTCTAATGCCAAACTTCACTTTCTTTCCAGCTTCCCTGCCCATTCTATTCCTATCCAATTCCTTCCTCAGTCAATAATGGAATTTCTGCAAATGGCCTCCAATCACCCTTACCTCAACACCCAACAGAGCAGCCCAGGTCATGCCTCTCAGAAGAGGAGGGATGTCAACTCTGGCTTCTTTCCAGATTTGGTTTTTCTTATAAGGGTAGGCCTTCAAAAAGAAGAGATTAATAGCAAAAACATTACCTTTTAACTGAAACAACTCTAATCCCAACTCTGGAAAGGTGGTTTCTCCAGAGGAAAAAAAACTATCAGTTAGACAGTGATTGCAAGTTTTGTTTCAAGCAAGTTTCATTCATTCCTAACTGGAAAACCTAGATGGGAGACGACTGTTAGATACTGAAATACCCACTGCTCCACACGAATGCATTCATATACTTTGGTATATATTGAACATATAAATGTAGCAATCCAAATCATTAAAAATGGTGTGGGTTTTTTCACTATATGTTTCTTATCATAATAATTATCCAACTTTCTTTAGTTTGACATTTATAGCTTATGCTTCCTTAAGTACTGCACCTATTAACACATCAGCCCTCTTTCATTCCTCACCAAGAATTCATCTTTTTCCATACGTGTAAATTAGGGTTTGGTATTTTATCTCCCTTAAAGTAAAACCCACATTTCTATCATGGTATCATTACAGTAAATAGCCATACTGTTTTCAAGAATCTTACTGCTTGGAAGTGCAAAGATGATGCTGGTATATTTAAACCTATAATAGATTAGTAATGAGTAAAGGATACAGAATTAGTTTCTTGAGTAGACAGTTCTTAGCAGCAGCTCTCATATTTTTAATCTCTTAGACTTTTGTAAGAGTTTTCTCTCCCCTCTCCACTGCTGTTGCTTTCATCTCTGCTTCTTTTTCAACTACTCTGTCCTTCAAATACCCTCTAATTAGCAAACCAAATCCAATTAACCAACAGAGAGATTTCATACCTTCAACAGTCTGTCAAACAGAACAATTCTGTTTAGCTGATACTCTGTGTCCCTCTCCCGGATGATCAGAGGTAGATTGGCAGCTGCAGACAGCTCACTGCTACTATTTGAATGAGGTAAAGTTGACTGGCTGGGAAAAGAATTAGGATTGTAGTAGTAAAAGAGCAAAATATACAATTCAAAGTGCAAAATAAATATTCAGCAATGCATTTTTGAGTTAGAAGTATAAATGGATCATTTTAAATATTCAGCACAAACAGCTGACTCACAGCATGTCGAAAGAGGTTAGAAATGTATGTTTGGATTCAGGGCCCTAAGTTCACCAGTACAGAGCACCTATCAGCTCTCACTGATTTTAAGGGCCAAACAAGGACATGTAAGGTTTGCTCTTGGAAGACAGCTGTCTTGCTGTGCACTGTGCTACTCAAAACTACATTTGGTCACTTAGATGGGAACAAATTTATACACACTTACTCATCTTCAAGTAACGGATAAAATGCTTCCCCACCAACATCCTTCAGTCTCTGAAATGGACAATAAAGACAATTCATTATCAGAATGCTGTTCAAAAACCATGTGAAAAATTTAGTGGAATATGAGAACAATTAATTTGCAATTCACTTCTAAGTTCAATGGTTCACCCTGATACCTAAGCATTAGCTCAGTTCTCAATCAATAAGGAAACATACAACCTTTAAGACTAGGAAAAGTTCCTAGTACAGACTATCTTATTTTCTTCAGACATCATGAAATGTGTTCTATCTTAAGAGAACTCTCTTGTCTCCTGCACAAAGCCTGTTTTCTGCACACACAGAAAAAGCTTTTATGGGCCATGAATTAATTGATCAACAGTATTACCATTGCTTCCTTCTTTTCCTCGTTTTTCCATATGGACTTCCTATCTAAGTAGCTGCAAAGCAACTACAGAACTTGGTTTTCACTTTTTTTAATCAGCTCAAGAGTTATTCAAATTTGAGTTTCTTCTTGTATCAGCATCTGAAAGCTGCGCAGAATTACAGACGCTCTCTGAGAAGGTGACAGACAAGAATACCTGGACTCTCGTCTGAAATTTTCAGATATCTTTGCTGCATTGTGATTAATGTTTAATATTATCCTCTCTGCAGTATTCTGCTTTGCAGTTCTGTTTCTAACTTAAAGGCATACAGCACACAGGCTGCTCCTCCTGGGAGTGACAGAACAGTTCATTCTCTGTTCATTCAGACCTGATCCTCTTTTGATTTCAAGCATCATGCTCTGCTCCATGAAAGCTGTTTGAAGAAGTGCTTAACTTCAAAAATTTATTTCATCTAACATCGCAAGATTCTCACTTGTATCCTCCCCAAAATAAAAACTCAGTACACATTTATTTGCTGCTGCATTTATACACGAAGGCACCAGTATAAAAAACTACAGATTAAAAAGTCTAAAAGAAAGCTGTAAAAGCTTCCCTTCTATAGGAACAGAATTAGAAGCTGTGGTGTATGCTACCTTTAAAATAGGCATTGCATAATGTAAAACACAAATATATAGCTATATATTCCAAAGCTTAGCAGTAAACTACTGAAAGTTTGGCATTCAGCTCCAAGGATACAGATATTAAGGAGCTGCAACTGAATTGAGCTGTTCTTTCTTCTGAATACCGCGAGCCACCTACAGGAATAAAAGAACTCACTGTGCCAGGCAGTTCAGCAATCATGCAGGTACTGCCAAAGTATTGCAGCTTCACCAGAAAAAAGCAGGTAGTAAAAATATGGGGATGGAGGATGGGAACATTAATCAAATTTAGTAAGCTTTTATGGGAAATGCAATTTGATAGCGTAAATCAGAATTGAGCTCAAACACCAGGGAGTTTTCTGAGAATCAGTAACACTGTCCCTTTGTAGGAGCAGAAGTAGGAGCTGCTGTTCCATATTCCCTTTAAACAAATGTTTCCACAGCAAGGACATATGCACCTGCACACAGAGTTTCACTTACATTTCGGAGCTGGCACAGAGACAAAGTCACAGTTGTGTCATCTAGAAGGGAACTTCTATCTCGTCCTTGCCCAAAGCTTTCACCGTCTTCCAACACAAAGCTTCAAAACGAAAGGAAAAACAATAAAATTCAGGTCATTTTATAAGATTTGAGTTAGGAAAAATAAATAAATATCTAACATCAATCAGTTTCTTCTTTAAAACAGAACACTAGCTCTTAGAAGTATAACACATTGATTCTGCAAGGCATGAAACCTGCTCTCAATGGAATACACAATCACCTTAAATTATTTAAACAGCTTCTGTCTAAAACTGCACATTTCAGGTTTTCCACAACTCTAGCTTGCACACAAAGGAAGACTAATGAGATACGGGATTAATACTCCTTTTATTTCTTGAACTGGCAGAGACTATGACTGCCAATTAATGTGAGACCCAAAAAAATAAAATAGCACTGTCATTTAAAAGCCACTTCCCAGAAATTAAAAAAAAAAAAATCCCAGATCTTAAGGGAACTAACAAATGCAACCAAGAAAGAGTATATACAGGTTGCCTGTTTGGTGTTATTTTAAAGCAGATAGCAAATTCATCTCTTCAAGTTATGCTAACATGCTGAGGATGACTTAAAAGATAGAGTAAGATTACATTTTTAAATGGACATTTCATCTTCTTAATACTTACATAATTAAAACTGTTATCCCCACAGAACTCAGAAACCCAAGCTTTCACCTAAGTGGACAGAACAGGCAGTACCTCAAAATGTCAAACTACATTTGCTATCATGTGATCACTGAAGATCAAGCTCTTAATTTTTTCTACCCCCAGATACTGCACTCTGGCTATTTTTATGTGATTTTAAATCCCAGACCCAGCAAATTTATCTTTATGAACACATAACTCTGTTTGTTAAAAATCAGACTGGAGGATTAAGGTATCAAAATATTTAAAAGTATTGCATCAAATTGCAACATGTGCAGCAGGAAGATAAAAGTAGTAATTTTGTAACAGCACTACAATTTTTAAAACTGTGCATTTAAAAGAAAAACACAAACATAAACCAGCTGATCTGCTGAAGAAATGAATGACCATTCAGCACTGATGCTCTGTGAAATGGAACTCCAAGGGTGAGAATTTGCTACAGAATGAATTACTATGAGTACATAGTGCGACTTTTTTATTTTAAATCAAAGTTCAACGATGATGGCAAAGATGCTAAATTTTGGATCTTCCTGTTCATTGTTCAGAACTTAACCTTTTTTTTTTTTTGATTTCAGAAAGCAATGTGAAAAGCACATAAGTAACAAACACGAAGTGTTCAAACAATGCCTTAAATTGATTAAGAAGAGATGTAAAGTGATTTCCTGCTGTTTAAGAATGTTGTTTTAAATGTTTTTAAAAATGTACACAGGTGTCGAAACCAAAAACTAAATCAAAACATTCTTTCACATTCACTTCTCCATACATCCTCCTTCCCTTAAATGCTTCTCTTTTCTTACTTGGGAAGTGTGCAGATAGGTGGCTTTGATCGAATGATTTCCTTGTTGACAAGTTCTTTCTCTAAGTCTCCTCCAGCCAGACACCAGAGATAATAAACCTCTTCAATTGATCTTTCTGCTAAGTAATCATTATCTTCATCTACAAGGAAAAAAAAAACCAAAATATAAATTACAGCTTTTTAGGCAGCTTGTATTTCTTCTTATCGCTCTGAACAAATCTTGCTGAAGAGAAGTTACTACACTGGAGAGGTTCTAGACCATAATGCAAAGTTAGAGGGAAAGGTGATCCTCTCTTTGCAGGGAGTTTTACAGAATGCATCAGAAAAAAAAAAAAAAAAAAAAAAGGAACAGTTTGCAGTTTCCTTTATGCCCAAAAATAGAAATAATCAGATAAATAAGTTGAAGGATGGACTTCTGCTTTCCGCATGTTTGAGTTTTTCTCCCCCTCAAACAGAAAGCCCACATTATTTTGTTCACAACAGTGCTAAGAGCGCAAGGAAACCGATGACTCGCACAGAGTAGTTACAATGTCTTTCCTTCATGGACCAAGTACTTTCTAAGATACAAAGTTTCAGTCCCCGAAAACTTTACAACAAGATTTGCTAAATATGTATCTATCTCAGAGTTCAAAATGAGGAGTTAAAACTTTCAGCATACTCCAGTTTTAAACTCAAAAAATTCTAAATACGTTCTATACTAGAATACAACCTCTCTTCCATAAGAATTTAGTTTGCCAGTACTTTCAAAAATAATCTCTTCCTATTACTTAACAGAATTCAGCTTCTAATTGACAATACATCACGGAGGGGGGGAAAAATCAGTACCTTGTACACATCCAAATTACAAAGGCAGATGATGATACAGGTATCTCAACATAAACTCAAATACTAACAATAACTTTTCATTCCTTGAGACAAAAGCATAAAAATCCAGATAGCATCCTTGATCTGAACACACCCCTTCTAAACATGTTTGCCTCTATCTTCGCCCATTAAACAATCTACTACTAGAATGGAATATTAAACTATATAATAGCTTATAATGCATTCAAAAAAAAGCAAGGATGTTGTATATTCCTTCCCCATCCAATGACATTTATCCCACTATCTGCTTTTACCTTTGCATAACTGACTTATGTCTTCAGGCAGCGTTAAGTCAGCACACCTTGGAGAGGACGAGAACAGTCCAGCAGATTTGTGAAATGGAGGGTATGCCAAAGATACTTCACTGAACAAACAGTCACGCATCAATTCCTCTGGAGTTGGCCTTTAGAGAAGATAATACAACATTAAGAGTAAAGCACTTACAAGAAGAGCTTGCTGTCAGTAACAAACAGTTGTAAATACTAGTAAGTTATGTCAAACTTCAGAATTTGTTTTTTTAAGCAAAGAAACCTGGTAATTTTGTTCCACTTGTAACTTGTAACGTGCTGCAGTCTGTTTACGCCCTAACTTGATATTTCATGTAAAATGAATATTATTTTCTTTATTTCTCTAAGCAAATATGGAAAAAAGTGCAAAGCTTCGATTGAAGAACGGAAGCCTACTACAGATTTCAGATGAAAACCGCGGTGGATTGCCATAACAAAAAAGTACTTTGGAAGAAGAGATTTGAAGGAAGTCGCAGGTCTCATGAACATCCAGAAATGGAAGCATTAAAGCTGAGAAATCTAAAACTGAATGTGACTGAAGAGCTTTCCCACAAAAGTACTCTGCAACAATCTCAAAGATTTGTGCATTTGATGTTTTTTTCCAAAACCACTTCTTTCAAATACTGCGAAGTACTAAAACCAACTAGCTAGCTATTACGGACAATAGAAGCCATTGGTATTTCTAATAACATTCAGCAACTGGTCTTCTTACTCTACTAGAGTTCATTAAGCATTCGGATTCAATATTTACCTCATAGAAGGTTGGAATGTAAGGCATTTTTTCAGCAGAGTTAAGACATTTTCAGAAAGATCCTGGAACATAAGAAAAAATATGGAGGAGGTCCATTCATTTCTGCCCTAATTCAGCAAGCCACTTAACTCATACTTAGCTTTCAATATACAGGCTTGTCTTAGAAAGCAATAAAACTTCATGCCCACACATGGTTAGCTGTGCAAGACCAAAATGGTGTGGGGAACCAATTCCGCCCCCTATATTGGCTAGAGGGGAAAAAGCCTGGAGAATTAGCAATGTATCCAGACACTTATTTTTATTTTTTAATCCAGACATCCTGTACTCGGCTTGAAATAAGGCAATTCTTGGAAACTCCCTTCTAGTAACAGTCAATCCTTTTTGCACAGTGTTTTAAAACATTCAAAACAGACACCAGAATTCAGTGATTAAATTTATGGATGGGGAGGACCTGAGCTGTATAGAAAGAAAATTAACCTGCAGCATTTTAAAGAAAATTAACAACTTTGTGAATAATCAGCAAGTATTAAAACTTCGACTGATGATAAGTTTAGGAGAAAATGAGCATTACTGGCACTGGGTGCTTGAAAGGATCTTACATATGCATTGCAGTCCATTGCAACTGCATTCAAGTGATTAACCCAGTTTGGTTTAGTAAAATACATGCGTCTGTATGTATATAATTACAATACTGCAATTATTTTTTTACTTTACTATTTATACTTCACTCTTCTTACTGATAACAATATTTTAATATACTTGTACAAATTACTATAAAAACAGATTATTTATTTCTTGTTGGAAATAAAAGCTTATTTAGGTATGAGCAAGTGTAAACAAAAATTTCTTACACAGTATATTTTTTGCATACGTGAAATAGAGAGAGATATATGTACATATTATATGTTTCATATCACACGAAATCCAACAATAATAATGAGTTTTGGATAAGATAGCACAGAAGAGTAAACCAGTTTCACAAACCTTAATAATATCAAGGCAACCGTGTTCTTCAGCTAATACAGTCACAATATCATCTACATAGCCTTTGAAAAATAAACACAGCAGTAAAAAAAAGTTAAAGAACGTGAAAAATCAGAGAGTCTTAGGATATTATAATCACAAAATAAACAAGACAGTTAGGCAAAGCAGACTATGATAACAAAAGAGAATAAATAGAAAGCTTACCCCTATCCTGGGCTCACTCACAAAACACCAGCAGAGCAGATCTCCAGAAGAGATCCATCCCCACTGGCAGCCAGCTCTTAAATGGGTCTAGGAGGGGTGCAGCCAGGCTCCACCCCTTCCTGCAGCACAGGTGAATTGCCTTCACTGTGCTCCATGACTGACTCATGGCTCACCTCAGGTGATCCATCAGAGGTTCAGGCCATGATTCAGCAGTTCCCGTACAACAATTAAGCAGGATTATCAGATAAAACCCCACCTTAAAACAGAACATTTTAGTTTTTTGTTGTTGTTGGCTTTTTTTTTTTTTTTTTTTTTTTTTTTTAAATCGACACTGCTACATCAACTGAAGGTGAACTCTCGAAATCAGAAATGAAAATCACATTCTCCCTTGTGCAGAAATAAAACAGAAGTTTAAGAAAGCTAGGTAGTGAATCTGATTTAACAGCAAAAGTCTTCTTGGCAGGCTTATTAATTCAGAGTGCCAAATAAGTTCAGTCCTTGTACTTACTAAAAAAAAAAAAAAAATAAAAAATTAAGAATACCTGCACAGAGAAACTCAAAGTACTTATTTTTATTTGCTATTTCTAGTATTTTTTATTTGCAACTAGAAGCAGTATTTTACAACTTATTTTCAACATATTACTGAGATAATAATACTCCGGTCAGGATATAAACATTTTTCAGTGATGAAGGTTCATAATGACTTGCTTTCAACTCGAAGGAAATTCAACCCCTTCAGAAAGCCTTGCTAATAAATTGCACAGCAAAACAGTGAGAATTTCAACACCGAAGTACTCACTGCTCAAAGAAAAAGACATTTGTACTGGCAGTAACTAACTTTAATGGTATTGCTCTTTGTTCTGAATAAATTCAATAACTCACGCATAAAGCTTCAAATATTGAACATTCCTTCCACATGGCTTATACATAACATCCACATCCGAATCCAATTTAAAATGCCACAGAATAGTCCCAATTCTAGATTCATTAACATCACTACAGACTTTAAATTTTGACTTAATGCTTTTCCAGTGTAGATGAAGTAAAAAAACTAAACTCTATATCTTAGTAATATGCTTCTCAGCTCTTTTTTAGTTTCCTATCTTCCTGCTTGAGTCCTGATTTTCCCTGCTTGCTACTGCAGCGACAGTTTTCTTTAGTGCTACACAATTCCTAAGTCATTTCAGAGATGCCTACAACATAGAACAACAATTAACTGACAAAATTACCTGAGCACGCTTTTCCTTATCTTACCCATACTCAAAGATACACACGGCTCTTCTCCAGTTATTACAACTGGCACCCATCTCTGTCCCTTCCCTAGGCAAGTCACTATTCTTCAAATGTATTCTCAACTCCAGAGATGAAAGCAGACAAGAGGTAAAGTGCCTTAGGTCTGAGCACCACAAGCTGATTAGTTTGCATAGCTCCAGTTACAGCACTGCCCAAAAACTAAAAAATAAAAAAATTGGTTTGTCTACTTACCTAGTGCAATTACAAATTTTAACCTTTCTGCTATCTCCAGAGTCTGGAACAATTTTCTCCCCTAAATGAATAATATGACCCAATCAAATAAATATATCAATACTACTACATCAAAATATTTAGATAGCATACACAGACAGCGTCCACCTCTCTACAAAGACAGTGAAATAAGCTTGCAAAATTAATTTTGGAAGAATTGGAGAAACTATTTATAAGAACACAAAACATCAAATATACCAGACACTGTTTCACGCCACCACAAAGAAAAACACAAAATTTATAATGTCTCTTACCTGGAACAGAGGGAAACCAAACAAGAAACGTGCAAGACAAAGTCAAAGTCCCAAGTTGCCTTAGAAAACCTACAAATGTACTATGAATTCTGCAACTCAATTCAAAAACTATTTTTTCCAACATGATCATAATCAAAGGTGATATTCATGATCATTCCACGTTTAAGAGTCACAGCCTGTATTGCATTGTACTTAAGAAGAATAATCTATACTTTGTTTTAAAATGTTTCCAAAATGTCCTGATCAGATTTTAAGAAAACGTACGTTTTAAAGGAGTAACAACAAATGATCTATGAACTTTCTGAGAATTTACAGAAGCACAGAATATGCACGAGTCCAATTCCCACATCCTGATGTACTCACTACATACAACGTGCTCTTGATTATGCAATTGTCAGATGATTTAGTTGTGTAATGAGACTAGACATCAGTACTAATGGATTTGCTAGATCTTGTTCCTGTGTAGAATGTTGTCTTTGAAAGAAAAAACTGTAATTTCACATTTAGAAGTAGTAAAGATGACGTGGGCTTAATTTATCCCATCTTCTAAAGCCAAATAACCATTTTCAAAATAAGCCTTTTATTCCTTACTGAAGCTCTTTAGACTCTGGTAATAGGGTAGATGTACTGCTCTCATAGTAAAGAAACTTGATTGGCTTTTCATTGCATTTCATCATCATGGCTTAACAGGCAGCTGCCCTGCACAGTAACACCTGTACTCATAACAAGCCAACATGCATGCAGTAACTTCAACCACCACCACCAATGCTGATCAGGTAGAAAGGTTAATGTAGTGTGATTTTTGGAGTCCGACGACAGGCAAAGTGCAATCATGCTAACGTAACCATTCCCCAAGAGTCACAATGAAGAAAAATACCCTCTTACATACCACACAAAGCTCAAATAGTATTGTGCCAAGAGACCAGAGATCCGATTTAGGGCCAGAAGGCAGAGGCTTCTCACACTGAGTATGATCACGTGGTTTGACTATTCCCTGCGCAATTACCTCAGGTGCCAGATAAGATGGGTATCTAGAAAAATGCAGTAACATTAAGCAATGATCTGTTTGCCCAAAAAGCTACCATTCAGATACGCTAATCAAAATCGTTTTGCATTATGAGAAATCAGAATTTATACCAAAATGCAAATTGTTCTATTTAGCCAAAACAAGCATTGAAGCACTTTCACTTCTAAGTGCACAAGCATCTACCATGTGAAAGATCACATTTTAATTACTAGGTCTTTTAAGAGGAAGTACCATCAATTCTCAATGTAGTATATATATCTACATATCTCAAAGTAAGCCTATTTTGAATTTTAGCACTAGTACATTAAATAAATGTAAATAGTACAATAAATGTACTAGTACAATAAATAAATATCCTAGATCCATTGTTCCCTTCCATTATCATCATTCCCATCAAATATTATTGACTTAGCCAAAAAAAACCCAACAAACAAACAACCCAAGAACTAAGCGTTACACATTCTGCCTACTGCTAAATCAATCTAAAATATCATTATCATTTATCCCTTCAACTATTCATGAGAATACATTAAAAAATAAAATCTGAAAACAAGATTCAAAGGGAAGCATCACTACTATTTTTGTGTACCTAAATGAATACATCCCTAATATGTTTATGCCAAGCAGCTACATTCTTACCCTATAGGAAAATCAACATCAACACCTTGAGCAGTCATATGGTAAAGTCCAAATTTAGCCAACTTAACGTGTCCCTGGAAAGGAGAATAATAATTCAAGACAAAAAACAACAAAAATCAAGAGCATCAGTATCAGACATAATAAAAACATGTATTTAAGTTTTATTAAAGAATCACTTTCATGCAAACTGCATTAGCTGTTGAGACAGACACTCATAAGAAGTCAGCTCTTTCTGTTTTTGTTTCCTATCCTAAGCAGATCTCCACTGCAAGTTAGTAAGGTGCTTATTTCCAATGCTTTTACTTTCTATGAGCCTGAAGTAATGACTCGGAGCACATAAGCAAGTCAGAACTTTGAAAGTTACAATATATTCAGAGTAAATTTAAAAAGCTTAAATATTCTAATGAACATAATTCCTGTTTCAAATCTCTTTGCAATCCCATTTGAATCTCAGAACTCCTTAAGCAGCCCCACTGTTCTCTCACTTCTTCTATTTAGCTAGTCTGGCTCCTTCACCAGTCTTGACCATCAACTCGTTACCTTGCTCTCTTTAATACTCCATACCTATCTCAACCAAACATGCTTTGCAGGTGTTGGGATTTTATTCTGTGAAGGCAGAAATGCAACACCAAAATCAAAATATTAAAAATGGCACAGAATTTAATGTTTCTGCTGTATTTTGAACTGTGTTCAGCCAGCCTGCAGATGGTGCAACAGTAAAGGCTACACCAGCAAGCAATCTGGCAGGGAAAAAGCTTAGAATTCTATGGCCTCATGACCCATTTTGTTCTTCAACTGATTTTAGGACTACCTTCAAACTGTAAGTATTTTGCTTGTTAGTGCATTATTATGATTTTCACTTGTTTACAAGTAATTTATACAAGACCATATCAGTAAGTGTTCCTCACCTCCTTTCTCTTCTTTTCTTTCTGCCTTCCAAGGAAAGAACTAGCTATTGTGTTTAAAGCAAGTAAGAAGGGGAAGGAGAGAGGGGCTGTTCATATAGGCTAAGCATTTTAGCCATCAGTTCAGATAGGGTGATGGCCCTGAATAAAACAGTAGCTACTGGTTTTCTTATCTTTTATGAGGGGAACCTTTATTCCACACTGCCAACCCAGCAGTCTGTGACAGAATAGAATTGACAGATTGCAATTTTAATAATTTAACATGACAAAGAAATATGTTGATATTTGAAAGTCACATTTCAGATCAACATGACACATAGGGAACTAACAGAACTGCAAACTAGCTTGGAAAAAAATACATACCTATTAAAAAATTAGTAAGACCCTGTAACTATAATGCTGACAATCAAGGAGACTTCCATCTCTACTTTAAGAAGGATAAAAAACATAGTTTGTGATTAAAAAAAAGGTGGGAACAGAAACAAATCTGAACTACGCTTGAGATCTACAAAAAAGGGGAAAACTAGTAACAACCCCTACACTTTCCCCACATATACAATTGCCCCACTCACCCTAATCAGAAGGGCTGCCACAGTCGAGTCTCCAAATACAACACAGCATGCTACTCGTCAGGAGGAAGAAAAAACAAAACACAGACTCATTCATGTAGCTGTACCTTTCGATCCAAAAGAATATTGCGAGGGGAGAGCGCTCGGTGGACCATTCCATGTTTGTTCATATATTGCAAACCTTGCAAAACTTCATACGCAATACATAAAATCCTCGAGGAACTGAAAACAAAAGAGAAGAACATAAGAAACATGCACAGCAGCAAAACGAAGGGGTACATTACAGAGTGGAGGGAGTGGGAACCTAACTCAGTTTACCTAAGATCAAAATGAATGTAAGTTCCATTATCAGCTATTCACTGCTATCAAAAAGCCAGAATTTTGTCATTAGAGCAAATATCTGCATTTTGACAAAAGCTTCAAGTTCAAGAAATGCTCACAGGCTAATGCAACAGAAAAAGACTGAGAAGACCTACGTTAAAAATAGACTATTAAGATCCCTCAGTTAGCTTGCATGGAGTTATTCTCTGGTCTTTACTCTTTCCTAGAAGGAACTCTGTACTGCATCTCACTAGCTGTGAACACAGACTTTTCAATTAAATTTTAATCACAAGAGAAATCTATCCTAACATATATCCACACTATTGTTACTCAGATCGTAGCATTTGGAAGTGATTCTCAAAGCCTTAGCAGTTCAAAGCCATGCTGCTAATGATCACAAAAACAAAACAAAACCCCACAATCACCTCACGCCTTCCTCACTGGCACTTTTTCTTCCCCCTCCCTCCTATCCTCAATTTACACCACACATAACAGCACTAGAAGCTGTTAGCTATGTAGCGTGGATCACAGTAATTTTTAGGCAAACATATAACCATGGTAAAAATCTACATTGCAGGCCTTCAGTTTTTCTGTCATTTTGTTTGTACCACTTATATTACCAATAACGATTGCAAATCAAATCCTCTTTCATACTTTCGCACAACTTTGCAAATTCTTTGCAGATACACAAAAAAAAATGCAGCTGTGCGCCCGAAAGCTGCAGTACCCGCTGTTGGCACTAGGCGGCCTCAGCTACCTATTCATTCTCTGCATTCCCTCGCATTTCATAAAACAGAAACTGTGCAATGCAAGGACATGAAAATACTGCTTTTGGATTCTTCATTATTTACGATACATCCTCTATGGCAATGCACTGACAACCAACACATGAATGATAAGCATTTGTTGTTATGTAGGTTTCTCAGTCTTACACTCTTAATGTTATCCTCATAGGGAGAAATGCTCAGTCCAGTATATCACGTCAAGTTGAAGCAAGTGCACCTCCCCAGAAGAAAAAGAATTCTGTATAACAAGCCATTTTATAATGCTGTTTCCCATTAACTAGTTCTAGTTATATTTATTAAGCAGAACACGTTGTTTGTGCCCGTTACCTAGGACATTTGCATTTAATTGCAAAGGGCCTGAAACTGAAAAACCAAATCGCAATTTCTGAGCACAAGATCCATCTCTCTGCTGCAAACTCTCCTCTTGAGAACAACTAAGCTCAAGTGAGCTCCCATGCCTCACAGGAGGCTAGACTACCATCTAGTAGTCTAGTTTCACAGTTTCTAAGGCCACCATGAGCACTGAAGCAAGTTTCTAGAAGTGCAGAAGGTACAGTCTTGAAGTTGCCTTTAGGCATCAGGTACATCCATCTTTTAAGGAAAGAATAAAAACCAACAGAACCAAAAATAAAACGAAAAAATAAAAAATGTAATCCTAAACAAGGAGGACATTCAGATCACCAAATGCGGGGAGTGAAGTCTGCGCTGATTCTTAAGTTTTTACTCATTACCCAGAAGCCTATTATTCAATAGACCAAGCAGTATCTCATCCTTTAACAGGAGGCAGGAAGAGAAGAAAGAAGAAATAATATGATTTGTAAAATAGCAAACAAAAAAAAAACCCACAAAAAACAGGCATATTAGGTTTGATACCAACAGCTGCTACACCACTGACCTAACAAGGGCCTGCATCCAAGTTATGTGGTACGAAAAACCTTGTTCATCTCATCAAGGTCATGATGGCAACTTTAAACTGTGGTGAAGCAAATTATTCCATTGTTCAAGGCAGGTAAGGTAGGAAGGATTCAGTAAAAGCAAAAAGTCTAACATTCTCTTCAAAAACTGACCTGAAGATCTGAAGGGATATCAATCATCTTCAGCTTCTACTTTTCCTAAAAATGTTTTAAGCTTCTTCTCTCCACTAACAGGAAAAACAGAGAGAAGCAGCAGGAATTTACCTGCAAAAGAAACACTACACAGACAAGGGGAAAAAAAAAAATAAAGGATATATCTTTATCTATGAGTACTTTTCCAAGGAATAGGCTTCATTTTTAATTCTCCTTTTTTTCTTAGCTTGCACACCAACAAACCTACTCAGTTACAATCTACTCACTTTTAAGAAAGGATTATCTTCATGTGAGAGGACTGCATACTAATATAAAAATCAAATCATTGCCTTTTTACTCCTGTTTCAAAGAAAATAAGTAGTCACGAAAGGGGGGTAACCTGTATTCCTCCACTTTAGAAATGAAGAATTGAAAGATTCTATAAGGATTAATCCAATATTGGGTTTAGATTTGGAACTTGAAGGTATAGAAGCACAGGAAAGGAAGAAACAATGATAACTCAATTCCTTCCTCAGATATCCCTTTGGTAAACAGAGAAAAAAATACTCTAGAAATCGATACAAGCCAATTTAGCCAATAGTACAAAACCAGCATGGTTAAGAGAGGCATGTGCATGGCATTTGTGGGGGAAGACAGAAGAGAAGACTTAAAAACCCACAAAAATGAGGATTGTTTTATTACCTCCAGGAATTTGTCAGACCAAAAGCTATACCAGACAAATGACTAATTTCCACTCACTAATAGTACACAGGTGGCTTTACAAAAAGAAATAAACTTTTCCATTTAGCAGGCAGCCTGATCTCCAGTCTGTTAAATTCTTACTGCTAGAGAGATGTAGCTGTTTTCTCAAAGTTTGCTTCAATCAACCTCATGTGTCACAGGAAACAGATGTTCTAGCAAAGCTTCAAATTCTTGTGGTGCTGCAGACTCACTGATGTGATTATCTGATTTCTTAGGACACTTTTGTCACTTTCTGGATTCAGACAGAGGAAAGCAAACAAACGAAAAAAAAAAAAAGGATCCTTTTTTGCAAATTTTCTTGCACCCACTGCAATCTTCCTTATGACTGAGAAAAGCACCTGGGCCAAGATGAAAGTGAAAATATGTACTAGTAGAAAGTGGCACACTTACACCCTTGTCTTTCTTCAAAGGATAAGTTATCAACGATCAGAGTGGGGAAGAGAGATCTATCAGTGACTAAATAAAGACAACACGCTCCTAAAATAACCGAGAGCTGAGTGAGCACACTCCTTCAGCAGTGAATGAGCACTACTGTGAACAAATTATATGGAGAGCTGCCCAAGCCATAAGACAACAGCCTAAGTACAGGAGTGAACTAAAAAAGATGTAAACATTTACATCATAAGGGAAATCAGAAACTTTAAGACAGAAGGATTCTGAATTCTTGAAAAAACAAACAAAAACCCACCAAACTGCAAGAAACATGTAAGAAACTGAGCCAGAATCTCCAAGATATGATGGTCTGGTAAAAACTTACTGCAATGGATTATTACCATTTTAGGCCAAAAATCAATGGTCTTTCAAACTTTAAAGGGTCAGAACCCGAACTTATTTGAGTCCAGTATCCTTTTTCCTAAAAAGATAGGCAGATGCCTAGGAAAGGATTGAGGGGAGGGTACAGAACAAGTGTATATGAAGTGTTCCCTGATACTTCCTGGCTGCCAAACAGAACACAAAAAGCAAACAAAGAACACAACCAACCAACCAACCACTGAGAAAAAGCACACAAAAAAAACAACAAATAAGTTTCCTCAAGTATGGTATCCGATAATGTCTGACTATAAAGTAATCCCTGCAAGCCTCAACAGATTTCGTAACAGAGTATCTAATATTCCAAGTCCTTCATCCACATTCACAGGAAAGGACCTGTCAGTTGCTGTGAAAATCCACAGCCACCAAGTATTCTGTAAGAATTCCTTGCTATGTTATCAAAGGGCTCTCTACAGAGTGCCCTATTACTCTAAATTCCAGATGAGTAATTTGAAATTTCAGCTTGAAGCAAATAAAATGATTGCCAAACTGCAGAGTAGGGAAGGAGGTTTTGGAAAAATCCATCTGACAGCCAGCAGCAGTAGTCCCTCTGCATACCACAGACTGCTGAGGGGAAAATAAAATAAAAACCACTTTACTGCCTTGAATACTTAAAAAAAAGGACTGTAGATCATACAGCTGGAAATCAGAGGTGGGTAAAGTTGGGAGACTTGACCTATTAAACTGTGGAATAAGAGAATTCCAAAGAGAGAAAAAGGAAGAATGAAAAGAAGAGGTAAAAGGTCAGCATTCGTTTCAATATCATGGAATTTAGATTCACTCAGGTTTCCTTTCCTTCAGTTGAATGGCAAATCAATGCCCATCTGCGCAAGAACTCACTGTATTCATCTTTAGCAAAAGTGCATTCAGATCATTAATTGGAAAGATGCCTTCTCCATACTTCTTTACTGCTACACCAAAACAATTTAAAATGAAAGAGTAACCAAGTAGCACACAAGATCTTTTTGCCTGCTTACTGATTACAGTTACACTTTCTGCTGAAGAAAGCAATCTCTTTTTTGGCGACTTCAACACAGGCAACTGTAGCTATTTCAGGGTGGTTAACCAGAACACGCAGTTACACCTGAACATCAATTGAGGGAACAAAGATATCCGGGGCTCAATGCAAAAATGGAGGCAGCAGCGTAACTCTGGAGCAGGAGAAATCCTTCTGGTTGTCATGAATGCATTTGTGGTATTTTTAATTGGTGACGGCAGCTTTTGGGTTTTTAAATCTACCAAAAAGCTTTGTGCGCTATTCTGAAAAAGTGTTTCATACTGTGAAATTAATGGAGGTCCACCTAGAATTTGACAAAAGACTGGCATCACAAAAAAGCCTTCCTATCTAGATAACAGTAGAGAGCCCTGTAATTTTTGTACCTACTGGACATCAATATGTCAGTTAGTGTTAGAAGTAATGCTTCTTCATTGTAGTGGCAATTCAAGGCAAGAGGGAATTTATAATAGCTGGAACTAGAATTATTTGACTGTCCTCCAG